AACAAAGGACTAGAATTTTACGTAGGAAGGACTTAGTATTGTGAAGTCTGAAGTAACATAAGCACCACGAAATTATGTGTAAAGTCATGTGTTTGAGAATTAAGTTATTTTGCTGAAAACAAGGTGGTCCTTGGATTAAAAAAAGAATGACACAGGAGAAGAAGGTTGGTAACAACTTCTACTTCCTAGAGTCACAAAGAGTAAGAAAATAATAGTAACAGAACTCCTACCGCAACATTGTTTTTTCAAAAAATGCTAACAGATATAACAGAAAGTGAATTTCCACTGCTAAAGTTTCCTCAGTACTAATGCACACAATTTCTGCAGCTTTTCTAGAACCATAATGTGGAACTGGAAAGAGACAAATGACCCACTATTATTAGAGAAGACTAAGGGCACATCTGCCGAACAACCTAACCCAGTGAAAAAATCCCAATGATTTCTGAGTAAATTAAAGGTAAAATTACATCGCTTTTTGCAGCCTAGGGCTGTGCCTAGGGTCATGCTCAGACAAGCAGCAATACAGCTACACAGAGCCCAAGACTAAGAAGTCTTATCTGAAGTAGATTAGGCAAGATTTGTGCCTATTTGCAATGGCTTAATGAAACTGAAGAACTGCTGGCTGCCTGTGGAAAGTTTTGCAGCAGTTCCTGAAAGCTGCCCTTGGCCAGCTAATTGTCAAGACGTAAGTACTTAAGCCACGCTCTTCTGTCTGAAACGGGCAGCTGCCACTATAGGTACTCCTAGCAGAGACATGGCAGGACACTGTTCAATGGTCTTGGTTCACACAAGGTAGCTGGCATGTCTTATGATTTCACATTGCAGTCATTATCGTAAGTATTCTTCACTAAGCATTTATCAACTGACATAAAGACTTTATCAAAATTAGCCTCTCTGATTTCCTTCTGTAGTCAGAAGACCTCAAAGCACTTGACAGCAGCAGCGGAGTTTAAATGCAAAGTGAGTTGCAGCTATCACGGGACTGAACAGCAGGTGCAAGGCGAATTTTTTCTTTTCCATGGCAAGTCTGAAAGTTTGTGTGCTTGGATCCGTACCTGAAGACATTTGTTTGCTAAGGAAGAAGCTTGAGAGCTTCTCCTGCTTTTTCTGTAGCTCATACTTTGAAGCTGTGATAGATGGACGACTGCTGGACTTTGTTTCCCAGGCAGACAACAGAGCAAATGAACACTGTCATCAAAAATGGATCAAGTCCTCAGAAATAAAGTTAAAACATAGATTACTGCAAATAGTTTAAAACTATTGCTGTCTTCAGTAATATTGATACTGAATATACAGGTATGAAGGGGAGAGCTATAGGCATGCCACTTACAGATACAACTGTGACTAGCAATTTTATTCTTCAGGCAGTTATACATTAATAGTGACTGCCCTCGCAAGTTGCTTAAAGGAGTATCTTAGAATGGTGTCATCTTGTTCATCTTTCAAGCAATTCTATTAATCAAAGTCAAGTTCAACTTCTTGAAAAAGCTGAACAGCTCTCAAAGGCTCTGTCTTAAAATTATAGGAAGTCCTCAGACATACAGTTAGGGTAGTGCAGCTGGCTGAATACCAAAATTATTCCATAACAAAACCCAAAGGCCAACCCCTCTCCCCCCCTAGCACTTCAACAGCACATTCGATTAATAAGATGAAACAAATCTGTTTTTACAGTTTCCAAAAGATTATTCAGCTTAAGGAACATACTATTTATTTATATGTTCAAAGCAAAAGGAAATTGTAAGGATTTAACATTTTGGCAAAACTTAGCAAAGAGAACAGCAAGTAAAACCTAGAACTCTTACGATATTTTTGTGAAATTTGCCAGAAAGACCCAAGGAGAAAACACTGACAGACCTTGGCTCAAGGAATCCTAAGAACATCATTATTTGTGTTGCAGAAATCCAATGTTTTTTCATCTGTCGGAGCAGATACAGCAGAGCTGGACTAGAAATTGAGCTGAAATCTATACACCAGCTGCATGACTAACACAAAACGATCCAACACTCTTGAGAACCACTCAAGTACCAGCCACAAAAGGATAAAGTTTATCTTTAACTTTTCTTACCCTTCCTAGCAATACCACCTGAGTTCTTCAGAATCTGCATATGTCTGATGTTGGTATTACCTTTATTTCTTTCAGACTCAGGGATATTACATCTGTAACAAGGACTCCATGAAAAGCAAAAATACTGAAAAAGCAGTATTATACTCTGAGGAAAAAGACAACAGTAAATTTGGATTTTCTTCTCATCTAATATGAGCAAATACTGAAAGACTGAGAAGCAGAAAAAGAAATTGATTTACATATTCATTAAGTAATTTGTATAATCAGAAGATTTAAAAGGTGATTACTGGAACACCTGCCTGTTAACAGATGTAGAAGAATGAAGGCCAAAGAACACAGTTTTTATAAAGATGTTGATAGATAAACAGTTGGCAGATCTACAGATACCTGCTGTGGCAGCATTAGTCTTTTTGGCTCAGGCCACTCTTGTGGATAAGGTAAATCTTCTGGAACTCATGAATCCATGCATATACTGACTTTCCTGTTGCAAAGCCTGACAGTTGTTTGTTCGGAATTTGATTGCTTTTAAATGTCAACATTCCAGTTAAATAAGATTTTATCCAGTAGGGAAGTTCTATGCACTAAGGTCAAGCATAAATTTGATGTAAAGCAGGACGAAGGTAGTTCATTGCACTTGACAGAGCAGGTACTAGAAAAAAAAATCTTACAATTTCTTTCTACAGAAAGAAAAACAGCACAGTAAATGTCTGTTTAGATAGGTGGGGGTACAGCACTGTGCACAAATCTCAATCAAGAATGAAGATTCTATCTTAATTTGGCTAAATTTGTTAATTTCTATTTCAGTCCCACTCAGTGACATTGGAGACCTCAGTAAGCCATTTGCATAGACACACAGTGAGAATCATTTCACTTAATTGTAGATAATGAAGTGTTACATATCCAGGTCTAAGCTGGTCACTGTATGCTACTTGTAGTCTGTAGCTGAATCATTTTCCAGGGATTCCTGTTAGAGCTCAGTCTAAAACAAAGATACAGCATTATGAGCTGTGCTGGCTTCGGCTGGGATAGTTAATTTTTTCACAGTAGCTACTATGGGGCTGTGTTTTGGATTTGTGCTGAAAACAGTGGTGGTGTAGCCATTGCTGAGCAGTGCTTACACTGAGCCAAGGCCTTCTCTGCTCTCAGCCCACCCCACCAGCAAGGAGGCTGGAGGTGCACAAGAGGCTGGGAGAGAACACAGCTGGGACAGCTGACTCCCACTGACCAAAGGGATACCCCAGACCGTATGATGTCATGCTCAGCAATAAAACTGGGAGGAAGGTTGGGCCGGGGGCCGCTGCTCCAGGACTGGCTGGGCAGTGGTTGGGTGGTGGCAGTTGTTTTCATTTGTATCACTTGACTTTCTTGGGTTTTAGTTTCCTCTCTGTTATTTTTTTCCCTTTCCTTACAATTAAAACAAAAGTATTATTTCTTTTTAATTATTAAACTGTTTTTATCTCAACCCACAAATTTTTTTTCTCACTTTTACCCTTACAATTCTTCCCCCATCCCATGAGGGGTGGTGGAGTGAGTGAGTGGCTGTGTGGTGCTTAGTTGCTGGCTGGGGTTAAACCACACCGTGAGCTTAGACACCTAATTTACAGATATCTCAGTTAAGGCAAAATAACCTTCTGCAACCAGCATTCTGTTACTAGTCTTAGGAGAGCCACTGGTTTCATTAAGAAAATTAAATAAGTGGCTTACATGTCTGCATTATCTGCATCATTAGTATTAATTTATAAAAATAGCTAAATATAAACCAATCGAACTTCTGTATTAATAAAGTATACGTTTAAAGCCAGGGCATTTCCCCTTCCAGTACAGTTGTCACTGAATCCCATGAATATTCAAGTTAGGAGGGAGCTCAGGAGATAATCTGGTCCAATCCGTGGCTCAAGCAGGGCTAACTTCATAATTATGACACGATGGTTAGGGCCTTGTCAGTCAAGTTCTGCATGTCTCCAAGGATGTTCCACAGCCTTTCTGAGCAACCCGCTCCTGTTCCATTTGCAGTGTCAACTCACTGTTGTAAAGAAATTTTTTTTTCTTATGTATAACAAGAATTTCTCTTGCTGCAAGAGTTGCCTCATATTCTTTTCATACGTACCCCTGAGAAAAGTCTTTTCTTAATCCTCATCCAGGTAGGTGAAAAGAGCAATAAGATCTCCCCTCTGTGCTTGCCTATGGTGGTATGCAGGATTAGTCCATTATGGGTAGAAGAGCATGTGTCTTTGTTGAATATCATGAGATTTGTTGATCCTTAAGTCCAGCTTGTCAGGATCCTGTTGAATGGGACAACCCTGCCCCTCTGTGCCAATCACTGGTGTCATCTGCCAGTAGGCTGAGGTTGCATTTCATTCCATCGCCCAACCTTTTACTAAAAATGTTAAATAGAGTTGGCAACAGTATCTGCCCTGAGGAATGCCACTAGTAACCAGCTTTCAATCTGACTTTATAGCAGCATTATTCCCCAAGTTCAATGGTCCCACCAGTTTCCCACCCACCTCTAAGTCCCCCCCATCCAGCCCACCTTTCTCCAATTTGCCTATAAGGATCCTACATAATCCTGTGTAGAAGTCTTTGCTAAGCACAGGAAAGATTACATTCTCTGTTCTCTCCTCTTCCACAAAAGGGAGGGAAGGGCAGAGTTTGCCCCTGGCTAATAATGCATGATGGCTGTTCTCAATCACCATTTTATTCTTCACGTGTCTCAAAATGAAATTAATTTCCATAACCTCTAGTAATAGGCCCTATAGTCTTCCCAGGGACTGAGGTTACGTGCTACCTCAATCGCAAAGTATATAAGATACAATTATTATTTGTTTTATAAAAACAAAGATACTGATTTTACATCCCCCCCAAGACATTTTTATACAGAATAACCTCTTTACAGCTGAAAAATCTTTAATATTACATGATTTCTATACACACTTTTATACATTTTGATTGCTTTAAACATACAAAATAACAGAAAACAAACTTTAAATTTACAAGATAATCTTTGTTAAAAAACACTACATCTTCCTTCCTTTAATTTTCATGACAAAAGCTTCCATGTGGTCCAGGATTCAAAAATTCATCCAAAATTTTCAGACATGATTCATACAGGCTTCTGAAAGGGCATAAACAATGTGCAACAGGATTAGATATGCTAAATGCTAGATTAATCCTTGACTAGTTGATGCTTAGCGTATAGCCACCACATGATTTCTTTGACCAGTTATTCCATATTAGTTAAGTATTAAATATGCCCTTTACAAATTACTTTTGAAGTAGTTGGGTTTCTTCCTTTCAACTTTTCTATCTTTCTGCTGATGATCTCTAGCTACAGTGTAATCTACAGCAAGTGAGTTTAAATTACTGTCAATTCAAGCACATATTCAAATATTTCATCATCTATTTAAAGAACCCACTCGTTGTCTTCACAGCATTTATACTCTTTTTTCAAACATATTTCAAAATAGTCAAATCCTTTACTGATAATTCATACTAAGGCCTCTTCATTCTTGTACTTTCTGCCTTTCTCCCTTGTTGTTCATAATTTTTCTCCTCACCTGTGGCAATTATTTTCCAGGCCTGAGCTTTCTATCTTTTCCTTATTAGCAGTTGCCTCCTTCACTGCATATACACCCATCTTAGTCCCTTTCTGGCTCCCTTTTGTCTCACATTGCTCCCTAAACAATCTCAAAGGTTGTTCTGAAATTTCCATTTGGTAGGCCCTTTTTATTTTCTTGCACCCCCTGACACAGTCACTCACCTAGCCTTCGTAGTTGCAACTACGCACAACTTCTAACACTGCTCTAAAATATACCAAAAATGGGCCCTTTGGTCTTCTGTCAAAACATTTTTTCACTGTTAACCACTATGAACTTTATGCTTCACGTTACTTTTATAAAAGATTCTGTCACCTGCATTTCTCAAGCATTTTTTATCCATATTTTTATTATTATATTCCTAGACTGATGCCCCAAATAAGCAAGGTTAGTCAGTCATTAATCATGATGAGTTAGCGCATTCATCGTGGGACACCAAGACCTGAAATACAAGAGGCGACTCTGCATTTTCACAGCAGTATATTGGATATCAGGGTTCCCTGAATTCAGACTGCCATGTGTGTGTCACATGCTCCTCTTTATAGTGCTTTATCCTTTAAGTCATGATGGAACCCAGCTGTAAAAATAAGCTGGTATTATAATGTACTATAAAATTAGTATAATTACTTAAGTACCATGGTTTTAGACAGAATGCTACTTTGTAATTTATTTTGTTATAATTTAAGGCTAATAAAACAATGGATCTGTAATGTTGGACCATGTACCTGCAGCACATTGGACAACAAGACGTCATTCAGAGTAACTGTACGCTTCCCCAGATTGACAAATTTAAGTCAGTTTTACTAGGTACCTTTCTAGTGAACTTTTAGATAGGTGGCAGACAAACCATGCACAACATTGTATTTACAAAACAATTCAAGAATCATTATTTACAGATTCAATGAGAGTGCAGTAAAGAGTTTGGGAAGCTAGCTAAATGATAATACTAAAGAAATATCTTTCAGCACAGCCATTAGCTAAATTTAAATTCTAAATACTCATATATCAAAATGCTAATTAAAGTAAATACAAAATATTAAGTAAAAGGGATTATTCTATAGCACATTTGTTTTTATAGAGCATGTAACATTTTTCTCTAGCCTCCAAATCACTGCACTGACAGCTTTACTTGCATTGTTTTGCTACGCATAAATATTTGCATTTTATAAACTAAACTAATGCGTGTGCCATTACTCTTGAGGAAATTCTCTCAATATACAATATGTTGTCCAGAATTTTTAAGTGCACTGAACAGCATTTTTAAAATAAGACACCCGCAGGGCAGTCTTAAACTGCTAACTCAGCTGAAGAGAGAAGACTAAATTACAATGAAAAGTTTTGCTTCTGAATTAGTGCAACAATTACTTGTTTAAGGGCAGCACTTTAATTACTACACCAGACAGCATTTTCACTTTTGTCTTTCTTTGCTAATATGTAATAGATTACTTGAAGTCTAAATTTAAGATGCTGGCACAGAATGCCAAGTCTATTGGGAAATTAAAGAATGTCACTATTTCCTGGTATACCTGGGTATTAAATAAAATAATCCCTCAAGGAGTTATTATGAGATAATGCATTCAGAAGCAAAAAGTAATAATACTATTAAGCATGACTTAAAAAAACAGTAACATATTTTAGCACGCATCAGTGCAGCACTGGGGGTTATAAGATTGTACTCAAAGTAATGATCAGAGATATAGCTTGCAGCATACCGGAACTAAAATTTTGGGGGTTGGTAAGCAGAGTAGGGTGATAAAACAGTTTGCAAACAACAGGGCACATTTCAGACTGTATATAATCACATTTTAGTTAAACGTTAGCACACTAGTACCAGAGCACTACAAATGGAATGTCAGAAGACGCCAGAGGCCCAGCCTGGTCCAACATTCTGTCTGTCTGAGAAAGTGCAAACATGCTGTAAATGAGTCAAGAAAAACCTAGTCATTGAAGAACTTCCTCCTAATGTTTTTTCAGCACGAATTCTTTTACCCTTCAGGAGAGAGAGAAACAAACCCCAACATATCTGTGCAAATATGAATTCTCCCAAATTCTGCAAAGCTATGTGACAGCTTCTGAATTTTGTCATCATATTGCAATTCTGATTCTTGTTAAAAATACCTCCCAAGATCATGTTCATATTCCTAATCTTTTACTTTTACCTGCAACTATCTCTTGGTTTTGTATTATACAAAGGTGGCCATTCTTATATCACGAAATTAAAACATTGCAGCGTCTTGTGCTCTTCATCTGCCCCAACTCCTAGGTTGATTTGTCCCTGTTCACTGGGCAGAAATGATCATATAGATTCATAAAGCAATTATCTGTGTTCTTACTGAAATTTATAGTTAGTAGTGCACTCAAGTGGCAGCAATTACTCATTTTAATGAGCCTATTTATTTAATCATGTTAAGAGTGGCTTTAATTTCTCAACCTTTTCTACTGTCTTGATTAAAGAAGCACATAACTGAATCATGATACTCTGCTGCTCACCCTTCTTTTCAGATCATTATTAATATCCTTTTTTTAAATATTATAGTAGAACACTTGGCAACCCAACATTAAATGATTTCATGGAAAAAATTTGGGGTTTGTTTATTTTTGTTTGATTTTGTTTCTAAACTAAAAGAAAATTGTTCACAGACAAGCATTAATTAAAACAACCTACCCAGGAAGGAGAGTCACTCTGAATTTTAGAGGTCCAATCATGTACTGATTTTTTTTTAAAATAAGACTTTTTCTGTTTCTTTAGCAATTCCATGTCACAAGAGCACAATGTCCGCTGTGGAAACCACTCAAAGTCTTGACAACAAAATTTCTGTTTTCTATTTACTTATGTCAGACAGGAAACAGAAGTGTCTGCTGCACTGGTTTTGATTCCGCCTCCTCCCCCCCGCCTTTTTTTTTTTAAAATAAATCTCATTTTTGATGGTACATAACTGAAGTGGCTCATATATATCATAAAACTTTCTGGCCTAGTTCTTAAAATTAGTTATCTCTTTAAAGACAGTTGCATAATACCTTTCTGGCTCTGATATAATAGGAAATTTAAATGAATTAGTGCATATTTTGTCAGCAACAACACAGCCACTCTATCATGTTGTCCTGAATACCAGGCTCCCCCCCCCGCCCTGCCCCGGAAAAGTCCAATTTACATTCTGCACTTCTGAACCAATTCCAAATGGGTATTTACTGTACAGCCTTCTAGAAGTTCTACCACTGCCAGAACATTTGGCGTAGCTTTTGGGCTTCTTGGTACCACTCAAGTGAAGGTTTGAAGTATCATAAACGGAAAGGGATGAACTACCTTATTTTTCATACGGTAGTATGAAATCTCATAACTTTAGTATTGCCTTTAAATACATGACACTGGTTCAGTCAAAGCACAGCCGCCAAAGGTCTATGTCTAGTCATCACAATGCCAGACAACAACACATCTCAGGCTAGTGATCCACCAGAAGAGAGTGCTCTGGAAGTGTGCTTAGGTTGGAAAGGTCATGCAAGAAACTGTTGACTAAAATGAAGTTGTGTTCGTTTTGTTTTAACTTAAAATCTGTCTACTCTACAGCCATTGTTTGACTGAACGGTGAGGATCATCAATTGGAAGAATTAAAGATTGCAAGGGCCTCTGCCTGTTCCGGCCACCGTGGTGCACTAATAACTTTCTCAGTATTTTTGGATGAATGTCCATAACTACAGTCTGTTTTTCTTCATATTCTATGTTTGAGCATTTTAATGTCTATTTTGACTGTTTTCTAATTCCATGGTTAGTTCAATAACTAGGCAGAACCCAAATATCAAGAAATTTTTAGACTTCAACAAGTTTGAGACACTTAAGGCTAAAGCATGCATCATGATTGTCTATCTTGGGCAGGTCTGAAAAAAATGATTGCAAATGCAACGTAGACAATCACTTTCAAGAAGCTTATCCCAAAAATCTAATAGTCAACCAGATATAACACCAAAATCTCAAAAAAGAGCAAAATGAAATCACTGTGGAAAGGTCTTAAAGTCATCGTTACATTCAGTTAAATTTTTACTAGGTATGGATTCATATGCCTAATACCAAAATGTAGGAGAAAAGTTTCCCAGTAATAAGAATAGTAAATACACAACTTGCTTTGTTCTACACTTGCTGTTAACAGAACTGAATTTCAGAACTGAATCCTGCAATATACAGGATCAAGACATAACACATTCAAATTAAATGAAAAAAAAACAATCTAAATTTGTAAAGATTGCAATCACAGCAAATCTATGAGCAGGAAATTTAATACTGTGCTGGGCTCAATGCCTCACGATTTTTTTTTACCCACTATTTTAAAACTTGCAATCATTCCGAATGCTCTAACTGTATGATAAGTACAAACCACAGCTAATTATTGCAGAGAGGGTACAGGAGAGGTTAGTGTTCATTTCCCACAGCATATTTACCTTTCAGTGCTGCTGGATTCTTCTGTAGCAGCATCCTTGCATGTTATCAGTTTCCTTTGAATAGCAGGTGCAATATCCTTTAGAAGTGAAGTCTTGTGCTTACCTATTTGAAATAAGATTATGTTGAAAAGTTGGACAAAAATAATGATTTCGCAAAAAAACTCTGCACATTTTCATGGAATATTTTTAACATAAAAGATTGTTTAATGAAAGATTAGATATTAAATTATATTTTCACTGTCCTGGACTAATTACTGTGTATTTCAGCAGATCAGAATATAGAGCTGGACCCTATGAGTTAGCAGACAGTTGTATTTTTAAACTCACTACACAAAGATTGAAAGTCCAAAGCTTAACAACATAATTTATAAAGTGACATAAGCCTAAATCCTGTAGAAAAATGGATGAGGAAAAGTGCTTGTTGAATTGTGTAAGAACTCAGCTTTCAAAATGTAGCACATAAAAAAAAGAAAGGAAAAAACAAAAGGACCAAAATGGTTTGACTGACCTTTAATTATAATCACAATGCAGACAGTAGCTGTTAGACTAAAAATCCCCTCAATTTCTTCAGAGAGAATGCATTCCATTAATTCATTTAAAAATGCCCTAGGGAAAACATAAAGGAAAAATACTTTATAAATAATTTTTTTTCAAAAATACAACTGAACACAGCAAGTTCATGATTACACTACCCTGCCACCATAGCTTCAAAGATACCATGCAGGATGAAGCAGTGGTTATTGGGTAACTGAAGACTACATGTTGCTTCTGGAACTGAGAATATCTGAGTTAACAGAATGGTAAATTGCTTGGAAAGAAAATGAAAAAGTTTGTACACAGAATAATTAGCTGCTAAGAGAAATTAAGAGCTCATGGACTATTTTGGGAAAGTCAATCTGTGAAGAAACTACTGGTTCTACTGGAATTTAACTCATGTAGTTTGTACAGAAATTTCTAACTTCAGTGCCTACTGAAGTTCAAAAAAATACATTATATGACTCCAATGGATTGCAAGTAACTACTCACACCCTTAAAACTGTTACTACTTGTAGCCTGATTAGCAACCGGAGTTTAAGTAACACTTTGGTCTAAAATACATATCTCTCAAAAATTAAAGTATATGGGTTCCCAATCACAAAACAGTGAAGAACTCTTGTAACTAAATATAGCCCCCAAACACTTCCAAACTACATTTTAGATGTTGAAAGTATGGACGGACTAACAGAATCAAAACAACTGTTCATTGTAAAGTCTGAGATAAATACTAACTCTGTATGTATCTGAAGAGACTCACTTTTAGCAAGAAATGATAGTATTACCAGCAAACTTTAGAGGTGTTTTGGGGCATATATTAAGAAAAATGAAAGAGGGGAGTCAAGAAAGAGGTCTATAGCAATCAAACTAAACTGCAATACAGAATAAGGCAATACTACAGAATGAAACCACTAATTGGTCATTATAGTGTTTATGGTAAAAATAACAAACTTAACTCAGAAGCAATTCTCAAAAACAGAGAAAAATAAAAGAACATGAGGGATAAAGCAGGAGATGGACAAGATCTGTAATCCTCATATTCCTCAGAGCACAAAACTAAATGCTCTGTGAAGAACTAAAGGGGAAACTGAACAGTAGATGTTACAATAACTTTCCCTAAAATATTTCAAAAATACCTTTGGTAATATTACTATATGTTACCAAAACTGAACACCATAAATACCCAGTTCTGACTTTAATTGTCCTTCAGGCTTTTATTGTGCTAAAATATGAAAATGAAGTATGCAGTTAAGAAAAGAACCAACCTCCACTAGTGATTCACTAAATAAGCTTGTAGAAGCTCAAATATTGCTTCAAAGACCTGAGAAAGATGAAACTTCTTTAAGTTCTGAAATAAGTGTTACGAAGTTGCTCATGCATCGCGTAAGTTTTATTATATCATTGTGTACTAATCTGACCCAGTATCGATTCCAGTTCATATTGCTCTTAATGGCTAATTGATAGTATTCTGATCAGAGTTTTGACTTTATTGTTATGACTGTTTAGGTCAGTAAGCACACTCTTTAGTTCCATGAAGGTACACTGTAATTTTATACATATTAGTCCATTGATCATTCAAAATAACTCTGGTGTGTATAGTCGCATAAATAGAAATTTAATGTGAACAAACTAAGCAAAGGAAGATAATGAAATTCACTTGTAATAACTCTAGAAGATATCCAGGGTACCCAATAAATAAAGCAAATAAAAAACCCCCCGTTTAAGCCTTAAAAAAATAAATGGCGTAACGCTACTTTTGGGGCTTTTAGGACTCAGATACTTCAAAACTATTTTGAATTTTGTGATTTTAATACAGCTGTAATACATGTCACCTCATTGCAGGCGTTCAATTAAAGGATTAATGCTATTTCTGGTAAATATTTTATTTCATCTAAATGCCTCTCTACTGACGGGGCTAATGTTTATAAGTATCTTATGAAAGAAGCAAGCCAAGATGTATGATTAAAGAACTGATTTAGAGGAACAGTTTTGTAAATAAGAAGCACTCTTAGAAGCAGTTAAAAAATTGAACCAACCGCCCCAATCAATACCTACAAGTAGTGTACCAAGATAAAAGGGATTATGAAGTAGTAACCATCTAATTCCTAGAAATTTATTTAAATTTAGAAATTAAAACTTTATTGACAACATATAAGCTGTTATACGTTAGTAACAACCTTGGACAAATTAATGTAGAAACATTTACCTGACAACATTAACTGACTTCATAATTATAGTCATTAAACTGCTTGAAAGAGGAGGAAGGTCTGAAATAGTCTTTGGTATAGTTAAGTCTTTTTCACTGGAAACCTAAAAAAGAAGAAAGTCAACAACTATTGCAGATCAAGAAATGTATGTATGCAGTAAACATCAAAGTAAATCTGTATTTCAATAACTACACTAAGACCTATCCATAAATAATTAGAAGAAACATTCATGTGTATTCTTTGAATAGGCTTAATCCAATTGTGTTGTGTCCAAATAAACAAATTAGAAAGGCTAAAACAAATAAGCAGTATTTGTACGAAGGTAAATAATCTCCACAGTTGTTCTGAATAAAAGTTTCATTTAACTACATTGTTGGCCACTATTTAGAAAGGCACAGTCTACTAAACACAAATGAGTATCCTTTGTGTCTCCAAGATTAAGTGTGCATCATTTCTAAAAGTAACTTAGGCGACAGTGATTTCCTGATTCCCTGTGTCAGCTCTTTTTGGTATCAAGTTCTGAATAGTATGGCAAGTATTTAGATAGAACGGAATTTTGATTTACTAGTACAATAACCTGGGGACACGGAAAACCCCAGCTCTGATGACTTACTGCAATGAACATTAGTAATCTATGAATATGAATCTGCAGTATCATTCAAGACCATAACCTGTTACTCTGTAGCACCTGTAAAGAGCATGCTCTCATCCCACAGCCCCTCAGCTGATATATTAATATTTGCAGGTAAATCTCTGGTATTATCCCAGTTCCTTCTGTAACACAGAATCTTAGAAGCAGCTCTGTAGTATTTGGTACTTTCTGGCAACCATTTATTGCTCTATTTCTGACTTATGTAGCAACAATGGTAAGAGTACAGCCCCTTCTAAAGAACCTCTACTCTTCCTTGTCAGTTCTCAAAGCTTCCAGTCTTACTATAGACATATTTGTTCCTAACACTACAATACATTAGGAACATGCACTAGGAATGTGTAGCACATACAATAACCTCTGTCTATATATTCTTTTCAGTATTAGAGCTTCTTTCTTCACTTTCCAAAGAAATTCAGATCAGATATTTGGAAGTCCTCTAGACAAAAACAGAGGAACCAAAAAACAAATGTGGTATGAGAAATGGAGCTGTATTGAAGCAGAGAATGCATAAGTGATCAGTGCCATGCAAGACATCAGCCTGCTTTGGAACAGGATTACAAAACCTTATGGGACAAGTTCCAAGAGTAGGGAACTGGAATCTTTCTGAGATCAGTGGTTCACTTCTTAAGTTCCCTAATGCTGGGTGAGTCGAAGTGAGGTGGGTTTAAAACAACCTCTCTTCCTCCTCCTTTCCCTGAGCTTTTATAGATGAGCACAACACCGTATGGTACGGAATATGCCTTTGATCAGTTTGGGTCAATGGTCTCGGCTGCGTTCCCTCTCAACATCTTGCCCACCTGCAGCCTGCTTACTTTTTTTGGGGCAGGGGGTGAAGGGAAGTCAGAATTGACACTCTTCAACCACTGTTCAGCAACAGCCAAAACTAACTGGCATGGCCTCAACTGTGTTTTAGCCACAAACTTAAACCACAGCACCACAGGGACCACTGTGAAGAAAGTTAACTCCTTCCCAGACAGTCCCAGTACAAATACACATACAGAGAACATATCAAAAACCATGTCGTTAATATCCACCACTGCCTAATTTCTAAATTTTTCTATCAGAGGCAGATAGTGAACCAGGTATCACGATAACTCTGTTCTTACACAGCTGTATCCCTAAACCTGAGAGATGCACCGTAATGTGAAATTATGGCAAATAAAATTTCCTGTTTGTGCCATGCCAACACACAGAAAATCTTGATCTGCAGTACAAAGGCCACGTTTTCTGAACACAGCTCTATTGTTCCAACAAAACATTTAAAAGGCAGCAGGTGTAATAAAAAAAAAGTCAGTATTAACTTTACCTTCTGTAGCACATAGTTTATCTCTGCTACTATTGCAGCCAGGATAGTAGAGAGTACACCTTGGTGAACTGCTGGGCAAGGTGAATGCCAGCACTGGACTGCATGTATGAATTCTCCAAGAGGCATTTGAATAGAGTGAATCAACTAAAACCAAAGAAAAACAGATCATTTTTTTCAGGTTGCTTGAGTAAAATTGACACATTTCAGCAAGCTTCTCTGTGAAAAAGGGCAGATCACACCTTGAAAGCTATTGAGGTATTCTAGTCACCTGGGATCACAGAGAGGATCAGCGACACGTTTGAGAAGTCTACTCATAAACTGGAGAGAACTAAACAAAACAATGCTTGTATCAAAAGAGAACTGAAATCTTTTTCAGAAGTTCTGAAAAGCAGACCACCAAATTTTCCAGTGATCCACCCCTCTCACTACTGCCTAGCCTCTGCTATAAAATACAAGAAGATAACTGTTCTGTGAAGATAGAAGGTTTTGAAGAACTTCAGGTCATCGTACATAATTTGAAGTTGATGTAATTCAGGCTGCAAGAAATTAATAAAATAACAACAATTTCTCCTTCCTCCCAATATCATAATATATATAATTGAATTCTTTGCTCTGGATTGAGAAAGTTCATTTAATTGCAGTTAAGTTTAATAACCTGTAAGTACTAGGGTAGCTGAGGATCATCGGTAACAGAATGCATTGTTCTCCAATTTACTAGTTTTTCTGTCATGATGAGACCAACAATGGATAAAAAAACATTGGTAATGAGGAAATTTAGAAAACTTAACTGAAAATTTGATCAGATGTTGACTCGAATAATAACCTCAACGTGTCTAACACATTTACATTAAAAATATGGATTCATCTACACGCTAGGTAGCAATTTCAAGTGTAATGTGATACCTGAATTCCTTCTTCCTGCTGTTTCTTGAGTCTACGTGCCACACATTCTAAAACTTTCTGGAAGACTGTCTGTACAGCATGGAAAAGATTTGCCACTTCATCTGTCTCAGTATTCTGAGTCAAAGAAGCTTCAATAATTTCTTTCAGAGCATACAGTAACACTGGAGCACAAAAGCCACCTCTCTCTAGAGAAAGAGATAAATACCATGATATAGAAATCGTAATGAGATGTTCTTCAGGTACAAGCTTAGAATGAAACTCAGTTACCTACCATTAAGTACTTATAGTTTACAAGTGTAGATGATATATTTAGTTTCTGAGCATCCTCAGCTGAAATTTTCATACAGTTCAATCAATATTTTAAGTATAAATCCAGTGTTCCTTCCAAATCCTTGAAGTATAGGGATTAAACTTGTAGATTTCTTCAGGAATTGAGCTCTAATTCTGTCTGTACTGTACACATAACTTTCCAAATGGGAGCCAAATTTAAACAGTGCTACAATGTTGCCTCGTAAGGCATACACATGTATAGAAAGATATCTCTCTCTCTCTCGATATATATACACATCACTTTATATATATATATAAAAACCCATGAATTATATAGTAATAACTGGAATCTAAGACCAAGAAAGAAACATTAGTTATCAGCAGTGACATGGTTCTGGGTTAGTTCTCTGCTCATTTTCAGTTTTCTGAAAAGCTTCCATGACTTTTGACCGTAGTAGTAGCTAGCAGAAGCAGTAAGCACCATTTTTGGAGACACAGATTCCAAAACGCTAAAAGCAACAGTTCTGCTAATATAAGTCAGCTAAGTATATATGAAGATGTTGATGTTAGTACAAAATATTGTACCTGTTTGTATAACTGAAAGAGCCATATCTAAAAGGTGTGCTTGAAACGTGAGATTTCCAAGGCCAACCATTATGACATCTTTACATACTGTCAGGTAGGCCTAGAAGAGAGATGCAAAAGTATATGAGAAACAAAACTTATATAAAGTAACTGTTCAGTAAAACCTAAAAATAATAAAATCACAAAATCTTAGCCAAGTTGCATTGAAAGCTGGTGCATCTACCTGGAGTTACTCAGTTCGCAACCTTTGAAAAGCAGGAGTTCTAAACAGTTCTCCAAATGCTTCCATTGCCCTTTCCTTCAGTAAACAGTTTCTCAAAAGGCAGTAAATCTTCTACCTTTTTTATTCAGGCTCAGATCAGAGGCATTGATACCTAACAGTTACCAAGGCAAAATATGACATCTCTACCTTGAATAGCAAAATTTAAAAAAGCATACAAAAAGAGCTTTTCCCTAGAGTTACACGTTACATACTAAACAGATTATAATACTAATGTATAGGCAGAGTAGAGAATTTTTAACCTGTATACATGAGCTGGGTTGTTGAAGGACACTGACTGTGACTAAAGTTAGTCCAAATTTTTCCCTTGACCAAAATCTGAAAGTACCCATAGCTCAATGCTAAAATCTACCTTGGGTTAAGTGGTATGTCATGGGAATGTAACAGAAGACAACTCAAAACCAGCTAGCCCCACCCCCCTACCACCCCCAATTATATATCAATTGCTTTCTGCGAAGGGCAAATGATAAGGGGTAAGGGACACTGTCAGTGATGACATGGGGGTTTGTGTCAGAGGGCCTACCAGCCCCCATCAGCAAATCAGTGGCCTAAAGACAACAGCCCCTCAATGAATCCCTGCCCATAACAGCAAGTGCAAAATTGAGTAACAGACCAAGTCGAGAAGGAAGGGTGAAAGGGAAAAGAATGGGATATGTGGTGGGAAAGTGATGGAGAAATGTAAGTGGAAAAAGAAGAGACACCCCAGTCCCCTCTCATATACAAGAGAACTAAAGAAGCTACTGGTAATTATTGTATATTATGTGGATATTTTGAGATAAACTATGGCTACTTTTAATGCCAGCAGTTACCAAATCTACTCTCCAAACAATTAAAAAGCACAATCAATATCTCATTCCAATAAAAAACAGTATACAACGTGAGAAGCAAATAGGAGTCTCTTAACAAGCATGTGGCTTATTACAGGAGATGCAAGAGGCGTGGATTCTCTTCTTGACTTCCAGACAAGTCACATCAGTCTAACACCTCAGTTTCTTCTCTGGAAATAATGATGCAAATGGACTTTAAGATCTACTAGTATAGATCATTGTGTTTCATTATTGGCTAGTCAAGTAATGCGTCAGATGGGTTTACAGGTGACAACTGCCTATCTTATTGCTTATCAATAAAGTTTCATTTTAATTTTGTACTCAAACCTAGGAAACTGATCACAAACATTCTGGTAATGCTGGTAAAGAATCCCTATTTTCTGTCTTGTCTTTCTATAAGGTTGAGTTCTGTGCCTCCAAACTTCTGAAAAATAGCCACAATAGAGTTATGATATGCATATCAAATTTTTCATTCAGAGAGAAGACAATAGCATATAAAACACACAAGAAACCTGTACCATGAACAACTACAACACTTGTTTGAGTATCTCTTTATACCTTTTTGAAAAAAGCCATTTGGCTGCAGCAGCAGGATTTCATACAAGACTAACCTCCCCATTATTAAATTCCCAGGTAACTCACACTCCCTCCCTCTCTGCTGAGTTCCAAAGATATGTGCTATGGGACTCAGCACAAGAATGAAGCATACTGAAGTCCTCAGGGTATAATTTTACCTATTTCTCTTGAGAAGGCAGGAAGGAAAGAAAGGAAGGAAGGAAGCAAGCAAGCATGCAAACATGATTAGATCTAAATCCTCTCTCATAATTACACCACCTTCCTGGTCCTCTAAGTCATCCTCTGTTGTGCTATTCAACACAATGTATGCAGCTGCAGTGATTCTAATGTCATTTCCAGAACCTTCTATGCTATAGAAGAAGAGGCTATTACGTGCTAGCATATCCTTGATTTCAGCAACTAATTTTTTTCTCCTTTTCAGAACTAAGATTCAGTGACACTCTTAACTTTATGTTAATGCACTTTTTATAAAATAGCATAACCATTACCATTATTTAATATGAGGGGTGAGAGACTGAGGACAAGAATTACTTGTTAGAAACCTAAAATTTGGGACACTCAGGTTATACCGCCTGTGCTAGAAATTTCTTGAGTGGGCATTTTCATAAGTGTGAAGCATAAAACATGTTCCATCCACACTTCAACAGATACAAGAATATATATTATGCACTGTTAGGTGACAAAAGTCTAGATAAGAATAAGGTATTGTTGACTCCAACTACTTGATTTAATTGCTAGGGTGTGCACAATTATATTTATATTTTTTATATTTATAAAATACAAAGGTTATAACTAAACTCAAAGCAATTTAAAAAGTGTGAGATTTTAAGCAATCAAAGGAATAGCAAAAGCACAAACTTGTAACCTCGGAACAATCAGGACTGTGTTTCACTAGTTCATTCACTTGCTGGGCTGCAAAAACTCCAGTGCACTATGTTTGTCAGTACACAATTGCTACATATACAGCTTTTCAGATTGGTAGTAGTTTAATTTATAAGAGACTTCTAACCTGGATAATTAATTCAGAAACATTACTGTGTTTAGAAATGCCATCCTCTTGATCACTTGCTAGTATAAAAGGTACAACTTGACTTTCTATCCAAGCACCTGTCTCCTTCAGAAGTGACAGGTAATCTTTTCCTTCTTCAGAAAACTGGAAAAAAAAGAATTAGAAGAAGTTTACCTATTGTCCTTCCAATTCCTTTGGAATTTCCTTATACTGTCAGCTGTAGCTTCAGCTTATACTGAAAAGGTATGACCATACCTTGTTCTGAAGATGAATACTCAACCTGCAAAAGAGGCTGAAGGCTCTTAGGCCAGTTGCTTGATTGCAGCTGCCAGAACCTGCATCAGTTGCTTTCAGCATTGAGCCAAGAACCTCCTGAAATATCAAGGTTAACATTTATATTTTCCAGAAAATCCTTTCAAATGTTTCTTTTCTCAACAGCTTTAAAAAAAGGGTTTAAAAAAAACAAAACACCACCACAAAAGACCTACTCCAAAACCCCAAACAAAAAAACAACAGGCATACTTTCAATTACTTTCATTTTGCAATGACATAACTGATTTTCAGCTATTCCTTACACCTACATTTCACAAGTCAGGTTCCTTAAAAATGCTCAACACTGGGTCACAAAACTTTTGAGACACCTAAAAATGACAAGCTCATTAAAATCTGCCATGTATGAACAATTCTGAACTAATGTATTTCTAGCTTAGAATATTTGTTTGAAGTACAAATCAAAAGGAAAACCTTTTTATAGAGGAAGAGAAGGGATCATGAATCCTATTTATTTATTCTTGCAGGCCTTTAATTTGACTCAGACAATATATGATGTTAAGCACTCTTTTATAAGCACTGTTTATCCTAAGGAGAATGCTACCTTTGCAGCACTGAGAGTTTTCAAAAGCTTCTTCAGTTTCTTTTCAGGAACAGAGAGCAGGCAACCACGATTAACAGGATGAATCAATAAATATTCAATGTAATCAATTGCTAATTCTGGCTTCGATTCATGTGTTACATGGATACGTACTCGTCGTTCAGATGTTTTAATGCTCTAGATAAGAAAGCATAAAACCAGTACAATACTGTTAGCAACTTACAACTAATTCCAAAGCAGAATAATATGGCATTAAAGAGTCTTTTTCTATTAACAACAACAACAAAAGCCTTTATGTAATCTAGCAATTCCTAATTCTTTGACGTATGCATACGCACACCTTTCTTGGGGTTAGTGTGTCAGACAACCAATCCCAGGCTAATTCCATAACATGTCCCACTTGACCCCAGCGACACATGCAGTCTATCAGGGTAGAATATTTGCTTTGGTCAGCTCCACTGTCAATATTTCGTAGTCTGGAGATCACACCACAGCTTAAAATAAAACAACAACAACAACAAAAAGAGATATATTAGCTTTACAACCATAGGTGCAGACAGAATTAAAAAAATATCAACCAGTATAATACCAAAAAAGATTCACTAATGGCTCAAAGGCATATTTCAATATTTCAAAATCACAGATTTTACTAACTCATTGAATTTGTTTATTGGATTAATTTATCCAAATTGACACGTAATAGGTCAAGTTGTAAAAAATGAAGAAATAGAGTCAACAAGAGATTTCTTGTCATTCATAGTTTGGATTTAAAAATAGTACCTGAATGTAGGAATAGAAGCAGGGGGCATAAAGGATGCCAGAATAACCAATGGAGTCACACAACGCTCATCCTAGGATTAAAAAAGTACATTACAAGTTGTACATGTACACAATGAACACAAAACACATAACACATGAACACAAAACTAAAGACAGTTCTGGAAAGGTATGATTAAATAATCTCAAATTAAGGATTTCCCTTTTTTCACTAGAAGTGGAGCTGAAAAAAGCTCATAACAACATATGGCTTGCAATCTGAAACTTGATTCCTATTCTCAGAGATCAATTATCATTCAACTTTCTGACAAACTGTCAGACAAACGACCATGAATAATTATGGCCCCATTAGTTTAATCACCATTGCAAAAGAAATAACAGCTCTAGCTTACACTTTTTCTTTTTAGAAAGAGGCTAATATTTAATTGCACAGTCATGACATCATCTAAGTGTAACTCTCAAATAACTAACGCCTTAAATGAAAATTCATTCACACCAGGAATTTATAAAAAAAGACTCCAAAGGGTGCTTATATAACAATAGTAATATAAAATGCAAGACAAGTCATTACAAAACATCATATATCAATACAAGGTCTAGACAATGACATCATCCCACTTGGATTATACAGAAACCAATCTCCAATCTATGCCAAAGACTCTTCAAAAATAGCATATCTGTATGTCCAAGCTTCATGAATATAATCAAATGAAATTATTACCTACTTAGATATTCAAAGAGTTAAAACATTTTAAAGATGACTTTTAAAAGAACATTTAAAAATATATTTGTGGCTTTTCTGGAAAGAGACATGCTGCTTCAATCTGTAGCCTTTTAGAAAGTAAGCCTCTCATGACAGGTCTTTTTAGATCCAAGCTGCTTACTCACTGTAAGAATATCAAAGTCAAAGAGGTTGCTTGCTAAAGCTGGGTATCTTGTCTGCCCACCAGAACCTTTCAGGAGGGATGTTACATCCTCTACCAAAAAAGATTTGGAATGTCTTTGACAACTTCCAAACGCTTCCATGGTAGAGAGAGCATTTGGCATATCTTGTGCTGCAGGATATTATGTAGCAAGGCATTGCTTTCCATGCCCAATTATCTAAAGTAAACTTGAATGTTGTTAGGTGTAACAGCCAGCAGAACTCTGTATACTTCAGCATAAAAGCCATAAACAAAAAAAAGTCATCCAGTAGATAAATCCTTCCAAACACACTACAGGGTGCAGCAGATACTATTAGCCACTATCAAAAGATAGCATCCTGAAGAATAACACTGGAACAATAAAACAGATCAAGGAGACTGAAAATATAAAAAGGACTGGCTTTAATTAATCGCTTATATCAAACTGAAACAATAAATAAGGGCATCAAAAGAGCATTAGAAAGTAGAATGAAATTAGCAGAAACCAAACACAAGAAAGTGAAAAAGGAGATTCAGCTGCTTCAGCTGTCTGTTCCAGCAGCTGGATCATAGTAAGAAGTGGTGGTGGTGGAAAGGTTTGGGGGGGAGCGGGCAGAAAAACATGTGGACTCTCATCTACACTGAGTATTTATTCTGTAACGGCATACTTTCAGTACTGATTTCCAAAAGTTCCCAAAACATTCAAAAGAAAGGAATCCTATAAAAACATTACAAGGAGAGCAATTTATGGCATAAGTATTTCTGTGTTGACTGTTTAGATAATGGTTCATCAGTCAGATATCGCAACTGAAGAATAGCTTCTACTCATTTGTGGAGTTCCAAGAAACGCTACTATTTATGGTTCATAGCAACAATGAAAAAAAATACATAATGACATGAAAACAGATAAAAGACATAACACGTGAAAGCACCTGAAAAAATGCTAAGCATTTACAGGAAAATCTAGGCTTTCTTTACCTTAAATACTTTAAAATACTCAGGAAGTACAGAAGCAAATTTTCTGATCGCATAATCTTTGGCATCTTCATTGTTATCTAGTGCTTTGTGAATACTTCTCCAGAGAATTACGGTAATCTCCAGTAAACTTGCCATGCTGGCCACATCATTTATTGACAACACATTATTCAACACCTGAAATACAAACACTTAGATGATATTACCTTCTCTATTCTCAAATATAAATTCAGGCTAAAATAAGCTTTCAAAGAACATTGAAAATCCTTCTACTCCTTTCACAAAGGCATTGTGATTGTTGCAGAGCATTAACTCCACAATTCATTCTTACTCTCTATATATAACCTGAGTCATCTCGCAACATTAATTTTGTTTAAGAATTTAATTGCAGAATCAAACCAATTTATAATTAGTACTGGAACTAGGGAAGTATTCATTTAAAATATACTTCATATTTTTTCTATCTTATTCTAGCTACTTCACCAAATTTCTGTTATTGCAGGGCATGAAAACACCATGATGGCAGTTCTCCCCTTCTAATTCCACAGATGCCCAAGTGCTTTCCTTTATATTTGTTGTATCATTAACTGCCATGTCTCAAATTAAGACCACAGGAAAAAAGTTACCAGAACGATAAAATGGACTTTCTTACACTTGTATTCTCCTTTTCACTTTCATCATCATCATCACTATCATGAAGACTCTCTTTCATTCCTTTCTGGATGCAGGCATTCAAGCAGCGCCGAATAGTAAGCATCAATTTAGCTACATTTAAATACAATAAGAATAAAGTAGACATTTAAATTAGACATCGTGTTTGTTAGGGATGTTGCTAGTAAATGCTTCTAAATATAGTGCTGGAAAGGCAGTCTGAAAAGCAGGCAACAGAATCAAAAATAACTAGAACAAAAGATAAAACTTCCTGGTAAAAGGAAATTGAAAAAAATGTGAAAATGTTTTATATCCTCAAGTATGAAGAAGAAATGGCAACATTATCACCATGTTCTATAATTTTATTGTTAAAATAAATTGTCTACTAAAAAAACCAACCAACCACCACCTTATCAAATCAGCATCAGAGGAAGCTCCCACAACTCCTACATTCATCTGGCATCGCTATTAATTTAATGACATATGTTCAATAATACATCCCCTCCAGTGCCAATTCCAGTTATTTATAAAAGATGTAGTAGCCTAACCACTGCACTCCTTAATAAGGAGTCCATCTCTAGATAAAAGTGAAAGGGTTACATCCACTCTGATGAAAGTATTACTAGCTGAAATACACTAGCACACGTCATTTCAAAACTACCTTTCCAAGGTAGTATGATCAGTCAAGAGGAAATGGCTTGGGCATTTCACCCGAGTCACTCCATATTGACTGCTTCATTTTTATAGTATTAGAACTCCTCTGAAACAAAAATTTCCCCATTTTACTTGGTTCAGTAGCACTTTTATAAAAAGCAGCTATACTGTGTGCAGTACATAGCTTTTTCACTGAAAATTTCTGAAGCTTTTAACAGGAACGAGTGCTTTTTAGATTTTCTTTGAACAACTTGAAAAATACTACTGATCCACAAATCCCAGATAATCAGATTATCAGACATAAATATTTTTCATCCTGTATAGACTCTTCCACATAAAGATCTCAAATCACTTGAGACACCAGAGTATTTTATTCCACTATTTCTGCATGATAAATAAATATCAACTTAGGTAGTTTTAAGATACACGTGAGGAGAAAGAAGGAAAAAGAGACCATATAACAACACCGGCTAGAGAGTATAGTACAGCACCTAAGAGCAGAAACGAAAAGCTTTGGTCTCTTCATTGTTGAAAAAGCTTATGACTGTTGACAGCAGGGTTCATTGCTAGTGTCAAGCATTTCAAAAACTACAAACCAGTCTTATACTAAAACCAAAAGATCGAGCAACAACGTACCAATGTTAGGGAAAAATTGTAAAAAGCAATTACATGGTGTGATACTAGCATTTCCAAAGACTCATAAGGTTTTGTACTTTACCTATGTTGGTGGGGGCAGTATATTCATAAGCATATTGATAGAACTTTCTAGCCGCTGCTGAATTCATCTGGATTAGAGTAACACAGCGCTCACACCACACATCCTCAGGTTGGTTAATGGGAAAGAAAGAGTTGAATAAGAGATTCACTATGCGTCGTGACACAGGCCGTGAATCAACTTCAAGACGAGTCAGAAGATGCTCCATGGGACATATTTTCCAGAACTTTAAAAGCAAGAAAAACATATTAAAGGAGTTAAAAAAACATAAAGAGGAAAAAACAATCACCTTTATTAAGTGTTGTCCACATCAAAAGTTTCAACAAATATAAATAGCATTTACCAGAAAAGCATGAGCATTTTTAATTTTTACCAAAATACCAGCATTTACTTGAGGTCACATATTGCTGCAACAATGCTACTTTACTGTTCTCACCCACCTCTAAATCTCCCGCTATCTCTGACAGACTGGTAAAATTCTAGTTCAAGCAATTCCAGCTCAATATACCCACAATGTTAATTCTTCCCCATACCTCTGGAACTGCATTATTTAGTTTACAAGGATATCACCACAAAATACAATTATTTGTCATTATGTGCCCCATTTCATATTCTCATCATGGGACAAAGTAAGACCAAATCACCTACAAGTATGGTATACACCCTAAAAACCTGTATAGAATAAGATCCTTTCCAAAACCATCATAAACCATAAGTGCATCCCATTGTTAGCAGAGCTCTAGCTTATTTGTAACACAGTAATCGAAGGCTATGAAATTCAGAAAGAATAAAATTCTTGTTATGCCAGCAGTAATACTACTCACGTTTGTAATTTTTGTGAGAAGACCTTGAATTAATTATGCTGTGCACAAACAACAAACGCCCCCAAAATCGGGTTTCCTGGTGTTGAAAAATATTATTTTTTTCTTGAGTAGAAATATTTGCAGAAGCTAGTTCTCCTGTGATTTCAAACTATGGGCATCCCTAATAGAGTTATCATAAAAAGAAGGTCCTTGGACTAAGCATTAAAGTAATCCCAGGACTTACCAGAGATATATATTGCAGTTTTTAAATAAATAGGAAGTTACCGACAAAACATCTAACAATTACTAGTTTTTGGGTTTTTTTTCTTTTAGGTAAACCTCATCCTTCCCTTAGAAGATCTGAGTCTTTTACTACATAAAAATAAAGCACAGAGTGGTTGGAAGATATCCATTATTGTCTAAAGAATGAACGAATACCTAAAAAAACCCCCTGAAGTTGAGAATTATCTCTTTCCTCTGCCTTTAACAGCAGCAAATTCAGAATAATTCAGGAAAGCCAAAAACATTGTTTGCTTGAACTTTCATACTGAATGAGAAATAACTTTCAAACAAGAATTTTTTGTACATTTAACAGCAGCATGAATACTTTGTTTTTAAAAGACTTTGTACACAAAGTAAGAATATTAAAAAAATATTTAAAGCATAGTTGATACTGAATACAAGTTAAAAAAAGCTTGGTTGTATTTTACTATAGAGATAACTGGTATTAATGGATCAAATCATGACTGTAGATGCCAGTCCCTTAAATCATACTTGTGTATCAGATCTTATGAAGAGTTAAAACTCAGCACAAGAAGTGCTGAATGCCTGTGAGATTACAGTGATGTAGAAATTAGTATTAAAAAATACATAATATTATAAAAATTGCACATAATCAAAGTATTAGGGGAATATGCTTGGAGAGTATTTTTAAAATAATAAATAAAAACACAAGAATATGATAGAAATCATGATTAAGATTTCAGAGTTCAAGAAATCTTTCAGAACAACAGTTCCGTGGATCTATATTTTCTGCTGATTCTGTGAACCGAGTGATACATCTCCTAACACATGGGCACCACCAGTGTAAGGTCCAGTGTCACAGTGACACTTCTGCCATTCTACCTCAGATTTACTTGGTAAGGTCTGGCTTTAGAACCTGCTGAAGCAGAAACTTCAGGAAAAAAGTTATTTTTTAGAGTACTACTACTTATTTATAACTCTGAATGGCCTCCTCCAATTATTTCCAATATTCTTAACAACTAGAACCAATTGTCTAAGTAAATGTACAGCTCTACTTCGTTAATCTCAGGAGATCTGCAAACAGTACAAGGACGCCGCTGGAAACTTTTCGTGCTGACAGTCTGAGTGATAACACCTTGTCCTTGCAGTGTTTTTCTCCATTTCGCTTTCTCTGTGGACTTGCCTAATCAATGTATTGAGGTGTGTATTATGGAAGTACCAAACCTGCTATTGCATTATTGTAATCCTTATCCTGAACATGTGTGCAAAAAAGCCAAAAGGCCTCAGTTCTGAAACTGTCTCCCATTTATCTTGTCTTCCGAGCATATTTTGGGGAATTTGGAAGGTACTGAGGTGGTCTAATCTCTATATAATGTCTTTGATGTCCTGTCATCAAAGCTGGAATACACACATTTGGCAAGTAGGTAATTCTCATGCTTGAACCTTAAAAATCTGACAAACGAAGCATTAAAATTATTTCCTGAACAACAGAGATACACCATATGAAGTCATAGTTAGGCATGTGCCTAGCACAAGATAAGCATGTCCTAATAACTGGGCTTAGCAAGAGACAAAACCATGATTAAAATAAGATACAAAATTGAAATTAGGAAACCATTAACAGCAAAGAGTAGAGAAAGAGCTGAAGGACACTATAAAGCCTAAGGCTGGACAGTATCACCCTAAATAAGAATCCACAGCAGAACACAAAGTTTGTTCAAAATCACTATAAAAAGATACCAAAATCCCGAAGGACATGCCCACAAAAGAAAAATAGAAATTATAAAAATAGGTAAATAAAAGTAAGAAAGCAATTCAGCAAAGGCATTAAGCATTCCTGACTTGAGCTAGCCAGCTGGAAGTGTGGTGGTACTGACTGCTCTGCCCTGGCATGGCCAGGAGAGGGCAGGGAAGCCAGAAACATGCTGAGAAAAAGGTCTGCTGAGGACTTGTGGTGCCAGCACCCACCAAAAAACGGCAGGCAAGCCCAGGGAGGTCCCTGGACCTACTAATCGTCCCAAACTAGCCAAAAATGTGGGGCAGAGCAAAAGGAGAAGAGTGTACCTGGCTCAACTAAAAGGCAAACTTTCCAGCATGTCTATAAATCTCTGCCATAGTAACATTCAGACACAGTCCTATTTCATGTAGTTACTTTTTCTGTGAAGAATGGCTATGAAAAGGCTGGAAGCTCACCAGGACTAGTTATTATTTATTTATTTTTAAAGATTTTTCATAGACACCACAATTTCAGTAGAATTCACAAAATCACTGGAAAGAAGTACTTCTCTACTACTACCTACATTTGGATGAAAACCTTTAAAATGGACAGAAGTGACTTACAGCAACAGAATCCACGTCTTAGAAATATACTCAGTTATATGCTTAAATATATGAAGAGGGAAAAACCTGAAATTAAGAATATTACTACATTAAGAATTAATTTTTTCTCCTTTTTAGAATAATGTAGTAGTCTCAGAAGGTATTTCTTTTTTTAAATAAATGCCTTGATTTTATCTCGTCTTGCTACTTATCAAGTGTCACTTATCTTACCTTAGCAGCCTTGGTAGCCTTAATTTTCAGCAGCATATCAATAAAAGCCACTCGCACTTTCTCTGAATTGTCATGAAGACTGTGTTTGACTGCTGGCAGGAGCTGTTCCAGTAATGGATGACTTAGTTTGTTGTCCAAAATTATCGGTAGGCACTGCAAGAAAAAAATTATGGTAAAATAAAAAATTTAAAGAGTAAATTTGCAAAAAGATGTTGCTAAAAATTGTTGAATTGGAGCATGACACTTCTAAGGTTAAATTAAGCAGGGACAGACGCTGTGCGTGTGTATTTTTCCTGTAATACTCTTGAGTTAAAATTGATATGGTTATTTCAAATTTCCAGTGAACAGTGAACTCATTTCAGATGAAGCAACTTCAGAGCTACACTGAGGCCACAGCCTTGCCTTCTACCTGAGGGCACACTGTCAGGTACTTTTTGTGATAACAATATCAGCTCCCTAAGCTCTGCTGATTTCACATGAAAATATGTGGTTTTTTCCAAAGTTATTTTTAAAACAGACCTTTCTTCTTATCCAGTATAGACCCTCATGCAGCTGTAGTGCAGCAAGTGAGGTTTAAAATGAAGACAACTCCAAATTAAGGCTGAATTGACACATATAAACAAAATTTTTACGTGAAAATACTGCTAAGGGAGTTATTTTTCTGTGCAAGCTATTGGTTATTTACCAGATGACAGAAAGACATAGATGAACTAATCCTAACACACTGAACAATGCATGGGAGGCTGACATTCCCAGAGAAACAGTATGTAATTCTATTCATCCAAACCTCAGAAATACAAAGTGGGGTACAGAATCATAACATAATTGTGGGTGTCTAGGATGGGTTAAAACCAGCGACATAGAAACGTACTGGAACGTGCCTGCATACATTTTCAAGCCTAAGCATAACTTCTAACAGCTAAAATAACTAAATTATCAGTTCCAAACGATGTATATAACACTAGAAATACAAAGTGGCTGAGAGTCACAAAGCCAAACAGTCACTATTTTAAAAGGCATTTGTTCATTACAAATGTATGGCTTTTATAAAACATGTGCAAAACTTGCGTCTATTAGGAATTTTATTGTAAAAGTAATTTTGCAGAATAAGTTATTTCCTTGACTTCAAATGTCCCATAGTAGAAAACTGTGTATCAAGTAAAATGTAAAAATTACAATCATTATTTCAAATCTAGGAAAAAAGATTTACTTTAAAAACAGAGCATCGAACATCAGCAGATGATACATCATACGCCAGCTCTCCAGTTAGTTTTTTTAAAAGATCAGCAAGAATTGTTGGAGGAATCATCTCCCAGTATTTGGATGTTATCTGAGTAACCCCGAGTATCCCTGTAGAGCGGACAACTGGATGAGGATCTTCTAAGAGACTCTAAAGCAAACAGAAGAATAATAATGTGAGTATATGCATTACTGTGACTCTACTGCTGTTTGACATCCTATCATAAACAAATAGTATTCCATTACCTCATGAGGTTCAACAAGGGTCCTGCACCTGGGTCAGGGCAAACCCTGGTATCAATGCAGGCTGGGGCATGAAGGGATGGAGAACAGCCCTGCCCAGAAGGACTTGGGGGTCCTGGGGGATGAAAAGCTGGACATGAGCCAGCAATGTGCGCTCGGAGCCCAGAAGGCCAACCATATCCTGGGCTGCATCAAAAGCAGCATGGCCAGCAGGTCGAGGGAGGGGATTCTGCCCCTCTACTCTGCTGAGACCCCACTTGCAGTACTGCATCCAGCTCTGGAGCCCTCAGCATGGGAAAGACATGGACCTGTTGGAGTGGCTCCAGAGGAGGGCCACCAACATGATCAGGGGGATGGAACACCTCTGCTCTGAGGACAGGCTGAGAGAGTTTGAGTTGTTCAGCCTGGAGAAGAAAAGGCTCCAGGGAGACCTTCTTGCAGCCTTCCAGTACTTACAGGGGGCTTATAAGAAAGATGGGAACAGGCTTTTTAGCAGGGCCTGTCGCGGTAGGACAAGGGGTAATGGCTTTAAACTGAAAGAAGGTAGATTTAGACTAGATCTAAGGAAGAAATTTTTGACAATGAGGGTGGAGAAACCCTGTCACAGGTTGACCAGAGAGGTGGTAGATGCCCCATCCCTGGAAACCTTCCAGGTCATGTTGGACGGGGCTCTGAGCAACCTGATCTGGTTGAAGATGTCCCTGCTCATCGTAGGGCGCTTGGGCTAGATGACCTTTAACCTTCCAACCCAAACTATTCTATGATTCTACCTTTTAATCATTATGCAAATTGTCATACTATGAAAGAAATGTAACATTAATATTCCCTCAAGGCATTTTATTATGAAGCAAACTAGGAAATTTAAATCAGAAGCAAAATTAAGACAAATATTGACCAATTTTTTTAACTAGACTTTTGAAAGTTTTTTAAAAAATTATGTTTTGCATCTGTTACTTAATTAAGAATATTTAGACTTCTATTCACATATGAGTTTACACTAGGCACTGTTCCTACGCAACAATATAAAAACCTCTGAAATTAATTCAGTTGTCTGATGTTTACGTTTTTAAAGACTATACTCAGAATTTCCCAAGCATCATCTTAATGAAAATACTATGCCTGTTCACAGCCATCTAGGCTGGTAGAGTTTTTTGGGTTGTTATCTCCATTATACTTCATTTCAGAAGCATTTAGTAATACAGTACTAAACTTCCATTCAATGCTTACATATTAAATGTAAAGCTCTGTTCACCAATCCTAGGTTAAGTAAGGATTACTATCCATTACTCATGCATTTAGTCTTTCAAAAGCATCTTTCATTCACAGATTAATGAAGAACAACCACCCCAAATAGTTCATTTTCAGAACATGTCATCTGTTGTCAACATACTAGAGAAATTTAAAATGTTAGTTTATTTTTGTATTTTCTGCATCAGATGCCTATATTTCTCTATGAATATTATCCTGAAATTTCATAAACTTTAGTTGCATCAACAGCTTATTTTTGAGTTAGTTTTGATGAAAGCTTCATTTTTAAGATTTCAGTTTCATTAAAACTTACAAAAAGTTCTTCAAACTGTTTCTGAATTTCATTGTCCATCTCTTCAGTGTTAAAACTGGGGTCGCGAACAGGAAAGGCATCAACAAACAAAAATGCTGCATTTGATCGAACTTCTGAATTTCTGGCCTATTTCAATGAAGGAAAAAAATATTTTGACAGTCAGTGAAAAATAGTTGGCCCTGTGGACTCTTAAAAGGATAGAAAGAGAGACCAGGCAACAAAACAAAGAAAAGATGAAACCACAGTATCTCAGGAAGAAACCCGAAATCTAACCATGAGACTACATTTTATTTATCAAAGACAATGATAAAAGCCTTTGCTCACTTCTCTTGTAAGGAAGAATTTTGTTCAGATTTTCACTCCAAGTTAAAACAAACAAATGTATGAACCTGTATATATACAGTCTAATAAAACAAGCAAAGTAGGTTTAATTTTAACAGCAAGATAAGAGACAGTTCAGGGAACCTCCTGACTATTCAGGAGGTTTTTCCAATTTTCTTCTTTCCTTGTCATTGGAGACATTCAGATCAAAGGCAGGGAAAAGAAAAATGAGGATAACCATGTAATATTTAGAACTAAATGAACTAATGGCAAATAAAACCAGAAAAACACAGAAGAAATGAGCAACAGTTACTTCATTTACAATTCATTTTGTATTTCCCTTCTGTACCAACCTTCATATGGTGGGTCACATTTCTGGGTAGAACCAAAAAATTCCAAATGCTTTGAGCCAACAAAATTTATAGCAATCCTAAATTTAATTCTACAAAGGCAAATAAAGCCCATGTATACATTCTTTAGTTAGGGACTTTGCTTTATTTTTCATGGATAATACAAACAGTCTAAAAGTGAACATGCTATAATTCTTAATTGAATCCTATAAAGCTGTAAAAAATCCTTTGAGCTTGTCTATATCGAAGAATTAATGCATAACAAGCTAATATGTGAATTCAGGGTGAAATAGTTTTTCTGCACTAATATTTCCTATGAAAATTAATTCAAGTATGTTTTTGTGCAATAACCTAGACCTTGTCTACCATAGCCATTACAGAAAGTTAATTTTCATAAACTTTCCAAGTGCATTACACTGAATTCCATTAAGCTACACTTTAATTCTGAACTGAGTACCCACAGTTTAAATTCCTGCCTTTCATTAATTGGAATTTATCCCAAATGTATTTACATATTCAAGCTCATAATAGAGTAAATTTTTTTCACAGAGATAGAATCAAGGACTTTAAATTCATAACCTATTTTGCTCCACACTGACTTTTCCATGCAAGAGGAGCCTATAGTTATTTAAATAACTAATGTTTCTTTACCTTTATGCTTGTACTATTCTGAGGAACTTTCAGAACCTTTTTAAACAATAATTTTTTTTTGTTGTTTGGTTAATTTTCAGAGCTTTCTTTTAAGTTTTATCTGGTCTTACAGGTCCTGAAATTCACTTCCAATTATTTAAAAAAATGGTTTTCCTCAGTTTTAGTTAGTTTAACAGTATGGGATGATTAAAAAAACAACCACACTACTTTAAAGGAATCACTTCCTTCAACAGCTTGAATTCCTGGAGGAGTGGTTCTTGACTTTTTGAGCTTGATAAGAAATAGCTTAATCACTACTTATCTCACAACAAAAAATAAATATAGCTTCTTATACTAATAACCAATCACTGCACAACTGTCTCTGCTGTTTGCATGAGACTTACTTTTCATAATAAAGATATGAAAAAAGATGAGGAAGTTACATAAGGGCTTATATTATAAAATCTTAAAGTTGCATAAAGGCTTATAAAACATGTGTAGGTAAAAGCCACAAAGGAAGCTTGTGCGATCCAAGTATTTGCAAAACAAGCAATTTAAGAAGAAACAGAGAACTATGCATTATAAATATGCATTCTCAGTTTAAAGATTTCAGAGATGAAATCAAGTACTTTCAACACGAACAGTTCTGCAATCCTTTGTATTCTTACAACTGAAGTATTTTTCCTTTCTGAAAGAAGGAGAGGTAAAGAGGTCCTTCTATGAGTTCCCTTTCTGCTTTGTAACCAGTGCTCTAGAACAAGATTTGTTCTTCACTGTCTTAAATTAGGGATTTGTACACTGGCTAAAATAGATCATCAAACTGGTTATCTAAAATCAAACTGACATTTCAAGCTTTGAAGCAGAATCCATACCAGTCAGGACAATTATAAGCTTCTCTTCTTAGTTCTGTATCTTAAACTACTGCTGATTCTGAGTCACAGAAACAGTTATCTTAAAAATGCCAGGTACTTCAGCAGTACTATATGGAAAAGTAACTATACAAAAGTCACACAGCAAGACAGTGGCCTATCCAAAAAGAAATTTCCAAATTTTGACATTCAGTCACATATTTCCTTTCATCAATCACAAATATGGTACTTAATCATTTGGAAGTCAGAATCTTTCTTCGCGCTGAATCATTACATGATTCATATAATTGCTGCATTCAATTTTTTACAATCCTCCCTTTACTGTGCTGAAATCTATGTTCAACAACAGTTGGACTATTTTGCTGTATTAAAACAAATTCTCCATGACCTATTTGATATGCCTGTTAATGTCTAAGCTTAAAGCACTTAAGTACATATGTAGAAGCTGTCAAGATAGAAACAAAACCAAAAACCAGCAAAAAAACCCCAATCAGCCAAAACAAAACAAAAAATTTCCTAAAATTCAGATTTGTTCTAGCAATGGAACCATTAGTGATATGAAAATTATGATTAGCAGCTGTTAAATATCTGAACCACTTCTGAAACCAGGAATTCCTCCCATTGTCTTGCTGCAAATCATGAATTAACCTTTTTTCCTCCAGACAAATCTGTTATGTTTCTCCAAACAAATCTATGCAGATTTAATAAAGCTTGACAGAATGTTCTTCTGAAGTACTGTAATCTTATATTTAAGTTAAGTCCTGGGCTTTGAAAGTGAACTATCAGCTTCCATTTACAGATAGCACTCCCTTAAGAATGGAATACCGTGTTTTGCTAACCACTCTGAAATTGTTTCTGAGACACTAGTTGGGAATTTTGCTATGCTATCAAAAATCAATTAAAAACCATATTCTTTTAAGACACAGGAATGTAGAAATTAAAGCAAGCCATACTTTGTACCTATTATTCTCTTGCACTGAGAACATTTATGTTTCATCCAGAAGGATTCTTGCTTATATTAATTCTAAAGAGGTGGGTTCCAATCCTTAATGTAAGACCAAACAAGATACTGGTCTACAGATGAGTCTGTCCATCTTCCCACTTCTACCATAGGGTTCTATTGAAACCAAAGAGCTCTCAACTCCTTCCTGTGACTCATAAAATCAATTTTAAACAACTTTTCAAGTTGTTTTTAAATACTTTTAACTTCTCTCTCATGTCTAGAGAAGATGCTATATGACCAATCAGCAAATGAAACTCCAGTAAATGATAAACAGCACTTAATTTGTCTGTACCAAATGGTATGTGTATGCTCTCACTGAAGGACTTTCAGAACCTCAGACAAAATAAAAGCTCTTCACAAAGAAAGAAGCTTGATCTTCTTAATCATAGAGTGTAACTGAGTAGGTAAACTGCCGTAGGTACCCTTTGGTCTACGCATGCAATCCACAGGAAGACATACACACTTTCCTTAGAAGTACCAGAAGTCAGAAATTTTATTCTGAGTGCTTGATTAAAAGCACATCCATAGCATGAATGTCTGTACATACAATCATGCTAGAATAAAAGATTTTCTAAAATATTCAAAATTAATTGAGCTGTATTCCAAGGCTGCTAATTAATCAGAAGGTGAGACTAAATCATTCTCTGAACACTTCTGGCTTTGATTAATAAAGCACTGATCATTCCAGATATGGAAGATATAGAACTTGGAAAAGAACATGATAAAGAACTTGGAAAACGGAATGCAAGTTTACACAAAATTCCCAAATTGATAAGAAGATGAGAAGACCAAACGTAGTGTTAGTACCACTATATACTGCAATCCTGGAAAGCACTCCATGTACCTGTAAATAAAACTGAATTATAGATGTAAATTATATTAACAAATTAGAATAATGTTGTGCTAACTACGTCTAATTACAAATTGCAAAGTTACTCAGCTACAGCTGAAATGCTAAACACACCTTTTTTTTTTCAATAGCCACTTTATTTTAAAAGCAATTATTCAAAATACAACATGTGGTAGGGACCCAAAATTTAGTAGTTGGAGAAAGGTAGTCCTATATTCTGAAAAGGATAATTACCTTCAGTGCTCTCCAAAGGATAGGTTGATACAACCTATAGAGCATTTCTTCAACTCCTTGACGAACTTTACTTTGTTTATGAAAATAACTCAGCATCTGAGAAAAACAAAAAAACACACAATCCCGAAAACCATTTTTAACAGTACTTTCTACATTCAAGAATTGTGCAGGAGTTGTCTCATTTCATCATTTATATAATAGACCAAAGAGTTTTCCATACTATGGAAAATGATAAAACTAAACATATATAAACTAACATAATATAAACTAAACATATAAACTATATTTTATTTAAAAAATCTCAAAATCATAAAAAATAAATAGCTCTCATAAATATCACATTTTATAACTTTATAGATTCAAGAAATCTATACAAAGATCTACAACTGACAAATTAAATCATGGCTAGAGAGTCCGTTTTCAATGCAACCACTCTTTTTTTGTTACAGTAGAAAACTGTTTTTAAAGTAACTGTCTGAAATATTTTTAAACCATGTAATTATCAACTACAGATAAATAACCCATTTCTCTATTAAGAACAAAGGAACATTATTTGGTAACTGGAGTTATCAAGATATAAATCTACAAACATAAATACATTTTGTATGCATTGATAAAATGGCATTCCTTTTGACTCTGAACTGTGCTTTGTTAGCTAAAGCTCCTTTTATTTTTTGTTTCTGAATTATGCAGGGGAAAAAAAAGGAAAGCAGAAGACCAGAGCAGAATATGAGAAAGGACATCATGTAACTTGATATGAAGTAATTCCTCCAACCAAAACACCAGACAGTTTGAAAAGAGGTTGACCCTCTAGTGGCAACTTTGAATACTTCAGGTATTCACAACTCCAGCTAGACAGGGAAGCCTCTGAATAGCACCTACAGAAACGACGCTATAGTGGAAGAATCCTTTTTCTCTGGTTTTGAAATGTACTGAAGACACAATGTAACAGCCTATGTAGCTCCTCTTTATACATGAGAACGATGGATCTAACCCAGGATTAATGGCAAAACAGTATTGTTTTATAATAGATTTCATTAGAACAGTATCAGGTATTTGCAAAATGGACATAGGTTTTAGAATCAGAACGTTGAACTCAGAAGGGAGAGTTGTATGTGTCGCTTTCCTGTCCCCCCCTCAGTCTTTCAGTAAAATAGCCCAAACTTTGCTCAAGTGAATGACTGTGGTTGGTTACTCTCCTAATTGCTACAGGAACTTCTGGATTCTAAAGGACCATTTTAAATCAAATTCTTGCATACTGAAAAAGAACACATCATTCTAATTTATTCTGAGACCCACTCCCCTTCGGGGTGGGGGAGCGAACTGGAAGACGAAAAGCAAGAAAACTCATGGGTTGAGATAAAGACAGTTCAGTAAGTGAAAGAAAGGACAAAAAAACCCCACAAGTAGACGAATGCCCACCCAGTCTCCAAGCAATGTCTACCTTCCCAAAATCCACTTTCCCTCAGTTTTTATTGCTGAGTATGTCATACGGCATGTAATATCCCTTTGGTTAGTTTAGGTCAGCTGTCTCGGCTGTGCCTCCTCCCAACTTCTGGCTGATCCCTAGCCTACTTGCTAGGGAAACAGAGTAGGGAAGAGAAAGCCTTGACACTGTGGAAGTACTGCTCAGCGACAGCCAAAACACCAGTGTGTTAACAACACTGTTTTAGTCACCAAATCCAAAACACGGCACCATACGGGCTGCTATGAAGAAAAGTAATCCCATTCCAGCCAGACATAGTATAGTGTTTTAGTATGAAATGGAGATTTTCCACTTCATAGTAACTGATATGATTTTGATGCTACTAGTTCATGTCATGTTTTACAGGAACTTACCTCTCTAACTTTAGAATGAACAGAAGAACTTCTGGGAAGATGAATTCCATGATGCATGAAATCCTGAATGCAGTTATATTCAAATATCTACAGTAAAAACACATACATGCTACTGTTCACACACAATAAAACAATAATAAGTACTGTAGGCTGTGCAGCAACTCATCTTTTCTCTAAAACAAACAACTGAAAATAGTCTTTGATGATATATTTACTTGGCTTCTGCTTGGCCCAAAATTTTCCATATCAGGAGCCTCTGCTTAAACTGGTTTCCAAAATTTCAGAATATACAATTAATCCGATTCTCAGAACCAAGTTTGGAATTCAAAAGCACCTCCACATGGTAAATAAGTATTATTTGGTATCTGAAATTTGGCTGTAGCATTGTTGTGATGCTGTAATTACACTTTTGATCATCTCCATGGAAATCCACAAAAACTAGACAAATATTTAAGCTACCAAATATATAGATTTGCACATACTGCATAAAAGGTTCAATAACTCAGATAACAGTGTGTTTACAAAAAACATTGTGTATATGCATAATTGCATGAAACAATATTTCAGCAGCAGAATTAAAGGTGCTTAAATGCAACCATGCTGATCACAGGGAGCAAACATTCAAAGCATGACACGCTCTTGACGATGCTGAAGAGGCCCTTTCCTTAGGGAAATAATTCCTTAAGGCTTGCATAGGAACCTTTACAAGGTTGAAAAGTTATGTATCTTCTCCACCTTGAAATTCAAAACTATCCAAATGAAATTGCATACATAGTATTACCTCTAAGAATTCTCCTGAAACTTTCTTCCAGGCCCTGAAGTAAACTTCTGAAATGTATTCCATCAAGGATCTGTATTAACAAATAGGAAACACTTTCAAGCAAGCATCATATCGGTATATACGTGCAATTCATAAAGGTAACAACATGAAGTTTTTGATAAGTACCAATATAATTCTTAATTCTGTCCATTGACGCTATTTTTGGAAGAAGAAAGTACCTTGAAGGTCTACACTGATAATTACGAAAAACAAACTTAACTGTTAATGAATCCAAGCACTATTAAAAAACACAGGAAATATTTATTATGGTTGGAAAGTTAAAATATTAACACAGATATTTTATCATTTCTCTCACAATGAATGCCTTAAATTCTTTATAAAAAGATGTACAGGTATACATTATTCTAACTGAAAGCATTAGAAAGCCTCTGATTTATTTTGAAGAATTACTTCTGTAATTTTTCAATGAATAATCAAAGGAAAAAAAAAATCCATGTTTTTCATTCATCAGTCAAGTTCTCAGGTTATGATCACTTCTTACTAGAATGTCTCCATATAGAATCTTGTCAAATTAAATTAGAGATTGCTCATGGGAAAAAATAAGAACACCTTACAGAAGCAGAAATGGACCTGCAATTCTCACACAAACACTGCAAGTAATGCAGTACTGTTTATATGAAAGCCATGTGCTTTAGCTAACGCTAAATAAGCATTTTACTACACCCATAATTGTATACATAGGCATGCACAGAGCAACTATTAAATGAAGTTGCTGAAACAATACGGTAGTTATATTCAACAGATCTGAAGGTCTCTGGATTCTGATGTATTTTATCAATATACTAGGTATTTTAGAGCGTGACACAAACAAGATGTTAGCCAAGATCTTAACGGCCATTAAGAACTCTAACTGTGATGCATACCTTGGAAAAAATTGTAATTGGTTTTTAACAGTTCCATGTATCATTTTAATGAAGTTTACATTCCAGCTAAATAAAAAGCTCAAGAATCTTCTTCCCTGTTGGGTGAGGAAAAGAGGAAAAAAAAAAAGTAAGTCAGACCCCAGAGGAATACCCAATTTAAGAGCCACCTCAAAAATCAGTAAATACAGAGCTTAAAGATCAAAAGAAACGACACCTTGAATTTTTAAAAGCACAGATAAGATTGTTTAAAAATTAGAAATCTTACTATATTTTTTCCTGCAACAGTATTCAAGCATTACTGTTATTTATACTAAAGAGAAAACACAAAACAAATTAACATGTGGATTACATATCTGCCTGCATTTTTTTCAACGTCCATTCTGTTTTGCTTTGACTTCAAGTAGTATTCCATAATGATAAGGGACTGTGCAACTCAGGATCCTCATCAAGGCCACATCATCAGAGCTCTGTCAAGTGCAACATCATTCCAGGATGACACTAATGACGGTGAAGGTACAAACAAAATAGCATGACAACTCTGCCAGCACAGGATATGGAAACTTTGTTGAACAAAGCCACAGAGAACAGCTAGGCCACTGAAGAAAATAAATGTTCTGATTAGGAAGACAATTCTTTTTCTATTGTCTCATGAAAAGTAATACTGCAAACCTCCTGGAGCTACTTTAATTCATGAAAACAGAAAAAAAAAAAAAATTTCGTTTTTTTCCTGAATTAGTTTTCTTCCATTTTAGCAAATCAGAAATGGTAATAACAGATCTGATGAGCAACAGCATTTTTGCAAAACAAGGCAGTGGAAGGCTGTGGATGGAGGAAATAAGCCCTTGCTCTTTTGGAATCAGCAAGATCTGCCCATGGAATTAGAGCCTTACACAGTATCTGTACAGACAGCCTCACTCTGGCTCATCTTACAGATGAAGTGAAAGCATCCAGCCTCTAAGACTGAAAAGTTTGATCACACAGAAGGGCGAGTCAGCCACTTGTAAGGGTCCTTTGTACCTGTCAGCTTTCAGAAAAATTAATAAGATACAATAGTAAAGAGCACACTCTCAGAAGTTCTAAAGGCACACAATTAGCAGAGGTTCAAAGACACTTCCATCGAGAGCTGGACCAACAGTTCTGTTCAGACCTATGACAAAAATAGAGAAAATAAAGCTGAAAATGCCAGACACATTTTGAGTTGGAATACCATAGACTAGAGGTAGAGGGAAGGAAGCATATAGGCAGAAACTACGCTTTAGTGGAGCTGACAGCTAAAATGTCTTCAGGTAAAGAAGTAATTCAGATCATAAAAATAAAGACCTAAAGGTTAAATGCGATGACAAGATCCTTATTGGAATCCTGATGGAATCCTTCCTGTTGTCAATACGAACTTCTTCTACCAATAAAGAAAAAAAAAAAGAAAATAATTTAAAAAGTCACTTATCTCCAACTTTGGTGGTATAATACATATTTTTGGAGTCCCAGTGGTGCACTATTCCATCAACATCCTGACAAACCCAAAGGTCAGGGGAGTCTTGACCTACAACTCTTGCCTCAACAAGGCAAACATGGGGCCAAACTCAAGTTCATCTCATCTTCTACAATGCCAGCAGCAAGATAGATGAAGAAAAGTCACGAAGTAGCTTTCAGCAGTTCAACCAATTCTTTTTTGCCTTAGATTTCAACAGATTGACCCTGGTTCCTGAAAATTATAGTGCCTCTAATTTAATCTGCTCCTTGTGATCAATGGATCTGAAGTAATTACTATTATCAACCATATCATGTATCATAAGAGGTAAACTGGTGATAGGTGAGTAAGATTGCAAACTTGTCATCTTTGGAGTTAATGCATTAACAGTGTTGAGCATCTTGTACTGCTGTGCTTGTGAACACAGTACACGTGATTTTGTCAGTTGTATACAAACACGGAAGGATAGCAAGGAAGAAGAGAGCAGAACAGGCCTACCTCTAAAACACACTAATATATGCTCTGCAGGGCTCTCCAGCTGTTTGATTGGAAATGCCACCTGAACAAGAATGTTTTCATAAATCACAGAGAGATACAAATTCAGAAGATCACTCCACTAATGGAGTCTGGAAATAAGCCTCTGAGAAATATTACTCCATGTTGAATAGCATAGTCCAGGAAGGCAGAAAACCTGAACTCCCTGATCTTGCAATAAGGCATAAATGTGCAATTCCGCATTCATTTAACACGATCTAGAACGAGGATACCGCATTCCTGACCCTGGCCTTCCCTTCATCCTTGCATATGATGAAGCAGTCCAGGCAGTTAATACGGCTGAAAAATAATCTTACTAGAAAAAAAATCTGATCAACTACCTCCTTGAATCAACCCACGACATAGCTGCTTGAGCATTCATACTGCACAGAGGAAAATAGGAATGCCAACCCAGAATCATTGCAACCTGGAGTTACATCAGCTTAAGCTTCTATGTACGTCAGCTGCTATGGAGCTACGCTTTGGGACGTACTCTAAAAAGTGTCAGGTATACTTTTCTTAGGAACTATAGAACAAACCTGCAGGCCATAGAGGGAATATTAACCCCAAAATATAGGAATTCAGTTTCATCTCAAGGCAATTTGTACATCATGTTGATATTTGGTATGACAATTAGCATTTTGGAAATAGACACAGAATACAAGTAAAAGGCCCAGCAGAGATACTGGGGGCATGTTGGACATGTTGCTAGAAGAAACCTACCGTTAGTGAAATGAGCCAGGCAGGGAAACTAGAGAACACACATGGAGGCAGGTTGTTACTAAAACTCCATCAGCATGCAAAATCCCAAAACAGGAGGACTTGCAACAGAAGCACAATAGTTTTACAACAACAGGAAAGTGGTTTAAATACTGTGAATTTCAAGACACTTAATCTCCTGCCAGCAGAGCTAGAAAAGTCCCAGACAGTTATCACTCTGCAATGTGTACCAGCAGTTCACCTACTGAAGCTGGGTTTCAGCTCACAAACAAATTGGATGTGATTCAGCTCACACCTAAATTTGGATGTGTAAGTCCCTAGAATGTTAATTGCCCGGAGTGTGATTCAGGTGACCAGCTGTTTAAGTAACTGCTTTATAAAGCTGAATTGTTCTGTTGATTCTTGGGACTAGGGGCAGCATGCCACTACCCAAGTATAGAGCAATTTTAAACACTCAGAGGGTTTTCTAGATGGCCGAGGTCTATGACAGATCCTGTGTTTTATGTGCCAGCCCCATGTGGATACCTGAAGCAACAAGCCATTTATTGTAGCACAGGTCATTCACTTATGCTTAAGCAATTAAACCCTCCCCAGGACCCATACAGATTAGGCTCCTGTGCAGATGTCTAAATTGGTTTCAGACACCTAACTTCACTGAAACCTATCCAGAATTGGGTGTGGTTCCCCTCTTATTATGAACTGGTATCCTCAAGCATGTAAACTGTCTTGTGTATTAGTGTTACATGGCAAGTAGCAGAGGGGCTGAAGGGATGACTTCTGTGACAAGATGCCAGAGCTTCCCGCCGTTGGACAGAGCCAGTGCCAGCCGGCTCCAAGATGGACCCACTGCTGGCCAATGCTGAGCCCATCAGCGATGGTGGTTAGCACCTCTGGCATAACAGAGTTAAGAAGGGGGAAAAACTGCTGCACAACAGCAGCTGGGAGAAAGGAGTGAGAACATGCGAGAGGAACAGCTCTACGTACAAAGTCGGTAAAGAAGGAGGGAGAAGAGGTGTTCCAGGTGCCAGAGCAGATTCCCCTGCAGCCCATGGAAATCTATGGTGGAGCAAATATCCACCCTGCAGCCTGTGGACCCACAGCAGAGGAGGTCAACGTGCCCTGAAGGAAGCTGTGACCCCCTGGAGAGCCCATGCTGGGGCAGGTCTTCTGGCAGGACCTGTGACCTTGCAGGGGATCCATGCTGGAGCAGTCCATTCCTGAAGGGCTGCCCCCTGGAAAGGGCCCAGACTGAAGCAGTCCATGAAGTACTGCAGCCTGCTCGAAGGACCCATGCTGGAGAAGTTTGTGAAAGATTGTCTCCCATGGGTGGGAACCTGGCCTAGAGCAGGGCAAGAGGGCGAGGAGGAAGGAACAGAGAGACAGCACATAACTGACTGCAACCACCATTTCCCATCCACCTGCAACCACTCGAGGAGGTAGAGAAATCCAAAGTGAAATGGAGCCTGGGAAGAAGGGAGGGGTGGAGGGAAGATGTTTTAAGACTGTTCTTATTTCCCATTATCGTACCCCATTGTTAACTGGCAATAAATTAAATTAATTTCCCCAAGATGGTAATTGCTGAGTGATCTTGGTTCGTACAGCTTAGAGAAGAGAAGGCTGAGGAATGCCCTCATCACAGTCTACAACTTCAAGGGAGGCAGCAGAGGAGGAGGTGCTGATCTCCTCACTTGTACGACCAGCAACAGGACAGATGGAAATGAGATGAAGCTGCATCAGGGGAAGTTGAGAATGCTTTCCTTGGTCAACTAGATGGGTGACCTTGTCATAAAAGTAAATTAAGTTCAGTATGCAGGACTTTACCCTCATGAACCCGTGGTGACTATGACCAATGACTACATTGTTGCTCGAGTGTTTTTCAGTAACTTCCAGGAAAACCTTCTCCATAATTTCAGCAGGCCCTGAAGTGAGACTGACAAGCCTATAATTACCAGAGTCTTCCTTCTTACCCTTCTTGAAAATTGGGATGACCATGCAGTAGCATTTTCAGATGACACACACATTCTTCTGCAAATATTTGAGCATTAGACCAGAACATGGAGACCAGCTGGCAACAAGTCAGTAGTGGTGTACCCCAGAAGTAAATACTGGAGCCAACACAGCTTAACGTCTTCTTTAATGACCTAGATGATGACACAAGAGTACATGCAATTCTGCAGCCACATCAGGAGGAGTCGTTGATTCACCAGATTAGGTATGTTTCTGTTCACAGGCATCTTGACAAGCTGGAGAAGTGTGCCAAAGGGAAATGCAAAGTCCCACACCCGGAAAAGAACAGCTTTGTAGAAATAATCCTGGGGTTGACATGTTGAACAGCAGTTCGATCAGCAGAGTGCCCTTAGAGCAAAGGCGGCC